TACTACTACTACTACAACTACTACTACTACTACTACTACTACTACTACTACTACTACTACAACTACTACTACTACTGCTGCCTACTACTACTACTAGTACTACTACTACTACTACTACTACTACTACTACTACTACTACTACTACTACTACTACTACTACTACTACTACTACTAGTACTACTACACTACTACTACTACTACTACTACTACTACTACTACTACTACTACTACTACTACTACTACTACTACTACTACTACTACTACTACTACTACTACTACTACCTACAAGTTGTCGTCGTCGTCATCAGCATCATCATCATCGTCGTCATCCGTCTGTCGCTCTTTCGTTTTTTTCTTTCGGCGTCGTGTCGTCCAGGCTCCGTTGGGCGTGCACTGCATATGCTTCCCATGTGTGGTTGTATGCGAGGCAGCATGCCGTTTCAAATGTTTGTTCGTCGAGTTGGGCCCGCTGATCCTGCAACCTGATGTAACCTTGATGTGGCGTTTTTTGAGAAGGAGCCGTTTGTTGCAACGTTCTCGGATTTGGGTCGTACGCTTCTTGCGGAAGTGTCGAACCCCCCTCTCAGAAGGGAACGGTCCCTCATCTGGACAAGTGTTCCACAGCAGCAACGCGTGTGCGCCGCGATAAAACGGGAACTGGATCTTAAACAGGCCCCCCCTCCGTGAAACTGTTCGAACCATAAAAGGAATGCGCGTGGTGCTATTGCGGCGGCGGATGTTTAGAACAATTTAATCTCCATCCGTACGCGAAACAGTTCAGCGCCAGAACCATACAAAATGAGGGATATGAGGTGAAACGCTCGGCCTGTGTTTGCGACCCGAGTGCTGGTGCGACAAGGAGGGGGTATCATAGCTGGGGCAGGACAAGTAGGCTGAAAACGAGAACGAGGAGGAGGAGGAGGCGGAGGAGGAGGAGGAGGAGGAGGAGGAGGAGGAGAAGGAGGAGGAGGACGATGACGACGCCGAGGATGGTGATTACGGGGGGGGCGAGGACGCAAGCGATGGTGGTGGCGGCGACGACCACGAACTCCCCCGCCTCTAGATCGACACGCTGATCGCGACGCAGCGCCACCCAAACGTCGTCGGCTACCGCGGGACCTTCTGGTCCCCCGACCCCGAGGCCGGACCCGCTGGCGGCTGGTCCGCGCGGCCGTGGGCGGGGAGCGGCGCTCGGCTGTGTAGCTGTGGGCTCGGGAGGGCGGCGAAGGAAGACGGGCTCGTCGCTACCAACACGGGCACGTGAGCAGCCCGCTCAAAGCCGCGCGTGCGTGAGCGCCCTCGTGTCCAATGCGGCGTGTGCCAGGCTTGGCGGCCCGCGTGAGCTACGGCGTGCGGCCGTGACGGCATCTCGCGTGGGGTCACTTGTTTTGTCGCTCTGGTGGTCCTGGCCCAAGGCGGCCCCAGCTATTCCTCGGAGGAGGAGGAGGAGATGGAGGAGGAGGGAGGAGGAGAGGGAGGAGGAGGGAGGAGGAGGAAAGGGAGGAGGAGGGAGGAGGAGAGGGGAGGGAGGGAGGAGGAGGGAGGGAGGAGGAGGAGGAGAGGACCTGGTGGTCTCCAGAACACCCCTGTCAGTAGGCCCAGCGGCTCCAAAATGGCGCGCAGAGCCAGGGCACCCTGCGCTGGGATCGTTTCTGGCAACCTCTGGCGGAGTGCCTCCTCCTCCTCCTCGTCCTCCTCCTCCTCCTCCTCCTCCTCCTCTGTCTCCTTCTCTCCTCCTCCTCCCTCCTCCTCCCTCCTCCTTGTCCTCCTCCTCCTCCTCCTCCTCCTCCTCCTCCTCCTCCTCCTCCTCCTCTTTCTCCTCCTCCTCTCCCTCCCCGGGTTGCGCGACGCGCCGGGGGCGAGCCCCCGCTCGCTCGGCGTGGGCCTGCTGCTGGCAGCGCTGGCGGCGTGGTATAGCGGCGTGGGCGGGCTGGCCCTTCTGGAGCGAGCCCTCCTCCGGAGCCTTGGGACGGGCTTCCAGAAGGGGTCCGAGAAGGCAGCGGGGACGTCTCGAGCGGGGAGGGGGGGCCGCACCACCAGGAGGACCCCCCCTCTGGCTCCTCCCGCTGGGAGGAGGAGGAGGAGGAGGAGGAGGAGGAGGAGGAGGAGGAGGAGGAGGAGGAGGAGGGTCCCTCCTTGGGAGCCTCGGTTACTGCAGCTAGGCCTCCCAGAAGGGGTCCGAGCAGAGCGGGTCGGAGGATCGCGCCGCGTCGTTGATGCATCTGCGATGCGGCTCGATGCGGAGCCCGATTTTCTCCACGCCGTCGTCGATGCGTTACTGACGTCGGCGACGCATCGCCGATGCATCGCCGATGCATCGGCGATGCGGTGCGATCCTCCGACTCTATCCACTCGGACCCCATCTAGGAGGCCTCTGATGCAAATGGGGGTCAGCCAGAGCGCCGGATCTTGCAGGATCCTGCAAGGCCAGGGTTGCATTGACTCGGGTCAGGGCGGAGGATCCCGCAGGATCCTGCAGGATGTGGTAGGCACTTGCAAGGCCTGACTGACCCGGGGTTTGCATTGACCTGGATTAGTGCGTCACCGACCTCCTGGCAGCTGCGTTCGCCGCATCGCCGATAAAGTCTAGCCAGCCTCGAACTTGTCCCTATCCCTAGGATCGACACGCCCGAGGCGATGACAACCTCAGGGACGTGCCTTCAGACACCTAGTGGATCCTCAAGATCGGCACCGAGAGAAGGAGACGCCGAGCATGGGAGCAGGGACGTGCTTCAGGCGGGTAGACATCGGCGATGCGGCGCGACGTGGAGCACGGTTTCCCCCACGCCGACGTCGCCCACGCAGCGCCGATTCGTCGCCGATTCAGCGCCGATGCACCGGCTTTGCGGCGCGATCCTCCGACCCCATCTGCTCGGGCCCTGTTCGGGGGAGGCTTGCCTGGACGAGACAGGTCAGATTTCCCCGCCACGATTTGCCGAGGAGGAGGAGGAGGAGGAGGAGGAGGAGGAGGAGGAGGAGGAGGAGGAGGAGGAGGAGGAGGAGGAAAGGGGAGCCCTCCTGGCTCGCGCTCCGCCCCCGCTGCTCTGGATCCCCCGCGCCGGCGGCCGCTTCCGCCCAGGGGCAGAAGGCCGAAGGCCTCCTCTTCGGACGACTTCGGACGGCGTCAGCAGGCCGCCCGGCGCGGGCCAGCTCGCTCGCCCGCCCAACGCGGCCCAGCGGGGCCGCGAGTCTGTGCGCCCCGTCCTCGCCACTGCGGTGGGCCAGCGGTGGCGTCGGGCTGTCAGGCGGCTCCGCGCGCAGCCGCTCGCTCGGCGGAGTGCGGGCCGATGGGGGGGGAGGCACCGCAGCGCGCGGTCCGGCGCTCTTGCCGTCGCAAGGGGAAAGCTCGGGAGCGGAGGGCAGGTGAGGACTCCCAGCAGGAGGAGGACCTTTCCAAAAGCAGCAGGAGGAGGAGGAGGAGGAGGAGGAGGAGGAGGAGGAGGAGGAGGAGGAGGAGGACGAGGACGAGTGCACACCTGACACGCATGATCGATGTCGCTGTAAACCCTGCCTCCAAGTTCCCTCGTCGTAGGTCCCTAATTACAAGAATGTTGTGTTCCTTGCGGAAAGTGCCCCACTGGAAGACAACCGTTTGAGAATCCGCAATCGTAGCAAAATATCATTCCTGGGATTTCAACGCCGCGGATCAGCGTGTCTGTTGCTTCCTGACAATCCTCAGTCTTGCAAGAACAGAGTTCCATGGACTTCAACATCGCGTATCAACATGACTGTTGTGCCCTGACGATTCTAAATCGTGCCAGAACACCACTCTTGGGACTTCAGTCATACGAATCCTCCAAACTTTTCCAGAGGATGCGAGAGCTACACTTTGAAAGCGACCTGAGTTCCATCCTTGAAGCTGTTGCAACCTTCTACCGGATGTGCGCGGCTCTAAGGCGAGAGCAACATTTTGAAAACGGCCTGCCCTCCATGTTCGAAGGTGCTGCTTTTTTTCAGACGAAGGTACGCGGCGCTAAGGCGGGAACCACATATTGAAAAGTGCCCGCCCTCCATCCTTGAAGCTGCTGCGAACTTTTAAAACGAATGCGCGCAGCGCCAAAGCGAGAGCCACATGCTGAGAACGACCCGCCCTCCATCCGTGGAAGTGTTGCAGATTTCAAGCTTCAGGATCATACATGGTGAGGGAGTCCCAGACGAAACTCCTGGCCCGCCCTACCAACATGTCTGGGGGTGCGGCAGGGAGGAGTTATTCATAATGAAAAGGGTTGGATGAAGAGGGGAATCAGGAGGAGGAGGAGAAGGAGGAAGAGGAGGAGGAGGAGGAGGAGGAGGAGGAGGAGGAAGAGGACGACCAGTGTGAACCCAATATTCATCAACGATGTTGGAATACATCATCCCTCCAAGCTCCTTTTTCATAGGCACTTACAAGGGTTCATTTCCACTGAGGGCAGTACCGCGTTGGGGGACAGCCCCGTGAGAATCCAGAAGCGGCCCAAACACCATTCTCAGGACTTCAACCCCACGAGTCAACCTGACTGTTGCGTCTTGGCTATGTATCCTGAATCGCGCCAGAGTGCCATTCCTGGGGTTTCATCGCGAATCAATGTAGCTGTTGCTCCCTGACTATCCAGACTCGTTCCCAAACGCTTATTATGGTATTCTAACAACGCGAACCAGTGCAACTCTTGCAAGGTATTGAATCGAATGTGCGCGGCGCCGAGGCAAGAGCCACATGTTGAAAAGGACTCGTCTTCAATACGAATGTGCGTGGCGCTGAGGCGAGAGCCACATGTTGAAAATGACCCGCCCTCAATCCGTGAAGCTCTGAAAACGAATGTGCGCGGCGCTAAGGCGAGAGCAACATTTTTCCCATCCATCTCGGGCCATCTCGGTACACCCCCACCCCTCACGAGGATCGTGGCCCCTGTGGGAGCTCCATCGACGGCCACAGCGGCAGGGTTCGCATGACGGCCTCGGGCGATTTCGGCGCAGCCCTCACGAGGGCCGTGGCCCCATAAGGAGCTCCACCGACGGCTCCAGTGGCAGGGTTCGCACGGCGGCCTCGGGCCATCTCGGCACACCACTCGCGAGGATCGTGGCCCATAGGAAGCTCCACCGAAGGCCGCAGCGGCAGGATTTGCACGGCGGCCTCGGGCCATCTTTGCACAGCCCTCACAAGGTTCGTGTCCCCGTAGGGAGCTCCACCGAAGGCTTCAGCGGCAGGGTTCGCACGGCGGCCTCGGGCCATCTTTGCACACCCCTCACGAGGATCGTGGCCCCATAGGGAGCTCCACCGAAGGCTCCAACGGCAGGATTCGTATGGCGGCCTCGGGCGATTCCGGCACATCCCTCACGAGGGCCGTGGTCCCATAGGAAGCTCCACCGAAGGCCCAGGGTTTGCTTGGCGGTTTCGGGTGATTTCGGTACACCCTTCAGGAGGATCGTGGCCCCAGTGGGAGCTCCATCGAAGGCCACAGCGGCAGGGTTCGCATGGCGGCCTCGTGCGATTTCGGCGCAGCCCTCACGAGGGCCGTGGCCCCATAAGGAGCTCCACCGACGGCTCCAGTTGCAGGGTTCGCACGGCGGCCTCGGACGATTTCGGCGCACCCCTCAAGAGGACCGTGGCCCCATACGCAGCTCCACCGACGGCCCCAGTGGCAGGGTTCGCATGGCGGCCTCGGGCGATTTCGGCGCACCCCTCACTAGGCTCGTGGCCCCGTAGGGAGTTCCACTGAATGCCCCAGTGGCAGGGTTCGCATGGCAGCCTCCGGCGATTCCGGCGCACCCCTCGCACGTTTCGTGGCCCCACAGGGATCTGGGCGAAGGCCCCAGTGGCAAGCGCCCGCATGCGCCCCCCGCTCGTTTCGGCACATACCACGCACGTTTCGGTGTTGCCATCCGCGTTGCCCTTGCTCCATCCATCTCGCGGCGCGCTACGTATACTGAGAGGGGCATCTCCTGCAATACTCTCAGTCGCATATGGTTGGGTCCTTCGCCAGGCTCATTTTGTTCAGGTAGGCGCCCGGCTGTTGCTGTGACATCACGGATCCTCGCGGTGGAGTTGGCGCCGTCTCGGGCCAATATCTGTTGAGAATGTGCAGCGCCGCGCAGAATGGGGAGGAGGAGAAGGAGGAGGAGGAGGAGGAGGATGAGGACGAGGGGGAGGAGGAGGACGAGGAGGACGATGAGGAGGAGGAGGCAGAGGCGGAGGCGGAGGCGGAGGCGGAGGAGGAGGAGGAGGAGGAGGAGGAGGAGGAGGAGGAGGAAGAACGGGGGATTGTGGAGCCCCTCGGGGTTTCAGGGCGCGCGCGAGACTTTCGCACTGAGTTCGCGCGTGCGTCTTTCAGTGGTGTGCGTACTCTGTGGCGTCCTCCTCTCCTTCCTCCTCCCCGTCCTCCCTCCTCCTCCCCTCCTCCTCCTTTTTCTTTGTTTGTTTTGTTTTCTCTGCTTTTTGTTTTGAGGGGGGGCGAGGGGGGGAAATTTCCACCTTCTAGCCCCGTCCGCCTCTCCCTCCCCTCCTCCTCTTCCTCCTCCTCCCTCCTCCTCCTCCTCCTCCTCCTCCTCCGCCTTTTTTTTGTTGTTCTCTCTCTCTCTCTCTTTCCTCTCCCCCCCAAAAACACGTGTTTTTTTTGGGGGGGGGGTCGGCGGCGAAACAATAGGAATGCGACGTGACCTCATCTGCCCTCCCCCCTAGAAGGATTCCTATTGAACGCACCCACAAGAAGGATTCATAGTGAAATCCTCTACAGAAGGATTCCTATCGAAATTCCTCCACTGAGTGATTCCTATTGAAATCCTCCGCATATGGATTCCTATTGAAATCACCCGCAGATGGATTGATATTTAGATGCTTCGAAAGAAAGAACCCCCGTTGGCATTGCATTGGCATTGGTTTGGCATTGGTTTGGCATCGCATTGACATTGCGTTGGCATTGCGCTTGGCAGTGCGTTGCTAGTGTGCTTGCATTTCGCAAACATTGCGCTGGCGAGTCCTACTGGAACCCTCCACAGAAGGACTCCGATCGAAACCTTCTACAAGAAGGACTCCTATTGAAACCCTCCACAAAAGCTGTTCATATTGACACCCTCCACAGAAGGATTCCATGCGAAACCCTCCACATAAGGATTCCTATACAAATCTACCACAAAGGATTTCCCCCATTGGCAGTGCATTGACAATTGGATTGGGATCGCTTTGGCATTGGTGTTGCATTGCGTTGGCACTGCGTTGGCATTGCGCTGGCATTGCGCTGGCGAGTTCCAACACCTCCCTTCGCATAATGATTCCTGTTGAACCCCCCACAAGAAGGATTCCGATTGAAGCATCCCATAAGAAGGGTTCACATTGAACTCCCTCACGGAAGCATTCCATTCGAAGACCTCCATAGAAGGATTCTTCCTGAGCCCGGCCACAAACGATTCCCCCCATGGCATTGGTTTGGCATTGCGTTGGCATTGCGTTGGTATTGCGTTGGCATTGCGCTGGCGAGATCCAATGGCTCCCCCCACACAAGGATTCGTATGAGAACCTTGTACACGAAGGGATCCTTTTGAAAGCCCCCACATGAAGGATTCAAAGTGACCCCCCCCCCACAGACAGATTCCAATCGAAACCCTCCACGGGAGGATTCCTATCGAAATCCTCCGAATAAGGATTCGTAACCAATTCATCCACATCAGGATTCCTAGTGAAACCTGTTGGAAGACAGGAATCCCGCCATCGGCATTGCATTGGCATTGGTTTGGCAACGGTTTGGTATCGCATTGGCATTGCGTTGGCATTGCGATGACAGTGCGTTAGCAGTGCGTTGGCATTCCGTTGACATTGCGCTGGCGAGTCCTACTCAAACATTCCACATAAGGATTCCGATTGAACACCCCCACAAAAAGGATGCCTATCGACCCCCCCCACAAGAAGGATTCAAAGTGAAATCCTCAACAGAAGGGTTCCAGGCGAAGCCCTCCATAGAGGGTTTCCTATTGAAATCACCCGAAGAAGGGTTCTTAGAAGGATTGCTATTGAAATCTACCACACACAATTCCCCTCATTGGCATTGCATTGGCATTGGTTTGGCATTGCGTTGGCACTGCTTCGGCATTGCGCTGGCGAATTCGAATGGCTCCCACCACAGAAGAATTCCTTACCTTCCGCAAGAAGGAATCTTGTTGAAAGCCCCCCCACAAAAAGGATTCACACTGACCCCCCACGGAAGGATTCCAATCGAAGCCCTCCACAGGTAGGATTCCTGGTGGAATCTACCACATAGGATACCCCCCATTGGCATTGCATTGGCATTGAATTGGGATCGCCTTGGCATTGGTTTGGCATTACGATGGCAAAGCTTTGGCATTGCGTTGGCATTGCGCTGGCGAGTCCTAATGGTTCCCACCGCAGACGGACTCCTACTGAAATCCTCCACAAGAACGATTCCGATTGAATCCTCCCACATGAAGGATTCCGAGTGAAACCCTCCACATGAGGATCCCTATCGAAACCCTACACATAAGCATTGCTATTGAAATCATCCGAAGAAGGATTCGTAATGACATCACCCACCAAGTATTCTTATTGAAATCCACCGAACTAAAGGATTCCCCATTGGCATTGCATTGACATTGGTGTTGGTTGGGAATGGATTTGTATCGCATCGGCATGCATTGGCCTGGAGCAGGAGATAGACAAAGAGAGAGAGAGAGAGTCAGAGAGAGAGAGAGAGAGAACACTAGAGAACGATATAAGGAGAAACTAGTAGTATGAAGGAATCACGGCGAACATAACACTTACAAAAACAGCCAACATTTGATAGTGAAAGAGCGTTTCACTCGATATAAACCGATGAAGACGACGACGGGCTCCACGATCCCCTGGCCTCGAGGAGGAGGAGGAGGAGGAGGAGGAGGAGGAGGAGGGGGAAGAGGATGCGGAGGCGGAGGAGGAGGCGAAGGAGGAGGAGGAGGAGGAGGAAGCGGAGGAGGAGGAGGAGGAGGATGTGGCGCTGGCCGCCTCCCTCCCTCCGTCCAGTCTCCTCGCCCCCCTCCCCTCCCCTCCTATTCGTTCCCCTCCTCCCGCCATCCTTTGTCCCTCTCTCCCCCTCCTTGGTCCGCCCTTTCTCGTTCCCTGCCTTCCCCTCGCTCCCCCTCCTCGCCCCTCCTCAGTCTCTATCCCCTTCCTCCTCCCTTTCCTTGTCACTCTCCCCCTCGCCACCACCCGCAGCTGCATCGGAGTCTTGGTCGTCCCTCCCACTCTCCACTCCCCCCTCCTCCCCTCAGCTCATCCCCCCCGCAGGGTCCGCAAATATCGATGGTGTTCGACGCGGCCTGCGGCGGAGACTTGCTCGCCAAG